CACAGCTATAAATTTCCCTCTGAGAACTGCTTTCATTGCATCCCATAAATTCCGATAAATTGTGCTTGAATTTTCATTGAGTTGTAGATATTGTTCAATTTCTTGTTTAATTTCATCTGTGACCCATTGGTTGCTAAGTAGGGTGTTGTTTAATTTCTATGTATTCATGTTTTTTTTTGTGGTTTCTTTTGTCATTTTTTTTTCCAGTTTCATTGCACTGTGTCAGATAATATGCCTGGGATAATTTCTATTTTCTTGCATATACTTGAGCAGGGCCTTTGGGCACCAGATCTGTAAGGCAGTGATCCTGAGACTCTTCAGCAAGTTTTTGAAACTAACAGTTAATTGGTAGGATTCTCATCCTGACTAATTATATATGCTGATACCTGTGAGCTAAGAAACTGCACTGAATGGCAATGTGTAATACTAAGGTCACGCTTGGAATGCCTGTCATTCTGGTCTTCTGACTACGTACTGCTTGGTATGTCATAGCAATTACTGCTATACTGTCTCTCAAGTAAATGTTTGTTTTTTTTTTTTAAAAAAAAGGTAATAAATGAAAACAAAGAGACAAGGAAAAGAAATGTCATAGGACTGTCCTGCTACGATGCTGTATATGGTTAGATTTCTAAATTTCTGTGTAAAAATATGTAATTGCCTATTCCAATTTTTAAATATTTATTTTTTCTTTTCTTCACATTCTTAAGGGATTTTAAAAAAAGAGTTGCTATGTAGAAATCACTTCAAGTGATTCTCTCTGTTACCCATCTATTGGTGGTACTGATTTTCATGACCAATTAGGCCTGAGGATTTTCTTTACAGAGTACGAAGTTTAAAGATTGTCACTTTATAGCATACTTCCCTACAATCCCCTCGTAACTCATCAAGTGCTGTTGGTTACCTGTCTGGCTTTTACCTCAGGGTGGTGCTTAAGGCTTGTCCAAGGTCATAGGCGCTATAAATTCCAGGACTCAGGACTTGTATTTAGGGTTCTTGGTTGTGTCGGCATTTGTTCTGAAAATAGGCAAAATCTTGACAATTGTTTTCAGCAATATAGAGTGACAAATTTTGTAAAAGGCTGGATAATACTTATTAGGCTTTGTCACTTTCAACTTTAGTTTTTGTCCTGTGAAAAAAAAGCTCTGGAGTGTGTATAGAAACGAGGGAACACAGCTGGATTTCAACCGAACTTTATTTAGGGACTATGAAATTTTAATTTCTTACAATTTATGGATAGCACAAAATTTTTTTTTCAATCATTAAAAATATGAAATATCCAGAGCCCTAAAGATATAATGAAAGACGCAGTGGACTGGACTTTATCTGAAGGTCTCAGCCTGCCACTCTGGGTTTGGTCAGGGGTAGAGAAATGGGGCTCCCTCCTGGCTGGACAGTGGTACCCAAAGGCTGTGGGCTTATGTTCTTGATTCTGTGGTGCAAACTGAGGTGGCTGGTTCTCCCCAGTAATGTCTTTCTGTCCTTGATATTTTCTACTCATGTTACTCATGCATTGAGACTTTACATCCTTTTCCCGTCTCCTTAGTGCAAACTCTTGCAGCTATTGATCATGTGGTTTCAGAAACCTTCAGCGTGGAGGATACCTTCAGCGTGCGCTGGAACTCGCGGCTCCCTCGGCCGCCTGTATTCAGAGCAAGCCTTCTAGTATTCCTGGCCGTGAGGCCCGCCTCTGGGCGATCTGGTGGAGCCCTCAGACTCGAGCACAGAGCTAAGCAATGCCCGTGTGTGAGACTGCGCCCGGGCCACTAGTAGACGTAAGACAACGTTTTGCCGTGCTGTAAGGCTGTAAGAGCTAAGGCTGTGTTCTGTATGCCTTAAGAAGCAAGTGTCCCGGTGCTACTTTCGCAGACGGACCAAGTGTGGCTCTCCAGCTGGCGTTCAGTCATCAATCGCTACCCAGAAGCTGAACTCTGCAGCGCCTTACTCAGCATGCGCAGTGCCTGCCCAGGCCCTTTCTGAGGCCTTTCCCTTCCGAGGGAGCCGCCTCCGGGAGCTGCTGGCCCTGCTGTGGCAGCCTGTGGGCCTCCGGGAACTGGGAGGGGCGGAGCCCATTCGAGCGTGCAGAGCCTCAGAAGTGCGGTTCAAGCCTGGTCCTCAGAGGCGTTGCCCGGCCGCCTGCGCCTCCAAGCAGGCCGAGACGTTTGAAGGTTGGCTCTGGTAGCTCCCTTCCTGGTGCTGGGCTCCAGGGGCTCGGCCTTGCCTTGCACCTTCCTGTACCCTCACGGCAACAGGCCTTCCAGGCTGCCTTGGGGCCTGTTCAGCCGGGCGCAGGCGGGCCCCGGAGGCAGCATGTCACTTGGGGGGGACTCGGCACGCCCTAGTGGCAGGGACAGCATGCCAGTGATGGAGCCTGGCCACTGCGCTCTGCCCAAGCAGGTGCTTCTGCGTCCCTGAGCTAGCTGACTGGCCCTGGGCCTTACATTCTAATGATTCATTTAAGCTGCTGTAGTTTGTTTGTTTGTTTGTTTGTTTTTTTAAACCAATATTTTCATTAGCAAAAGGAGAACTGTTAGAAAATTTAAGGGAGAAACTTGAAAAATGTGAGTCTCCTTAGCTAATGGGTCAAGGGGCTCCCGCTACGTGTATCTGCTGTCACCTTCGACTTTGGAACCTTCGTGTTTCTATAAATCACCTGGTTAGTTTCTTTTCCATTATTTTTATACAGGAGTTAGAAAATAGTTGCGAAGTTATTTTTGGTTGTGAGTACAGTCGTGGGCTGCTTAATAACGGGGGCACTCTCTGGGAAGGGAGGCATCGGGTGATGTCCTGTTCCCCACACCCCGGAGGGCGCTCACACCAGCCAGCGTGGCCACGAGGGCGCTGGTGATGCAGCTCACGTAGGTGGCCACAGCCACAGAAGCGGCCATGCCTTGATTCAGTGTGGACCAGAAAGCCAGACCTGAGGGCGTTTCGGTGGGTGAAAGCAGGGGCCGGTGCGCCTGCGCAGCAGAGCCGACCTTGTCCCGGTGGGGTGTCCCGGTGGTGCGTCCCCACTTGGCACAGTTTATCCATGGGGTCTCACTGTGCAGCCAGAATGAATGCAGCCCCAGGAATGAGCGCTGCCGCAGGCAGTGGCTTAGTGCGTTTCCGTTGCTGCAGCAGAAGATGCGAGACTAGCTGGCCTCCCGAGAGGTCTGACCCCGCAGAGCTGTGGAGCTGAGCAGTCCAGCACCTGCGGGGCGTCCGGCCAGGCTCACACACTGCCCCCCGAGTGCAGAAGTGCGAGCCCCCCATGGGCCGCACCAGGAAGGCCCCGCTCTAGGGCCTCGGGGAGCCGCATCGTCACGCGGGGGATGTAATTTCCATGCAAGTTTCAAAGGCACCAAACATCTGCGAAGTGTGGCAGGCAGGGAGCGGGGGTCCCTTGTGTGCTTTACTGTTCATGCGGAGGCAGTGCCATCCGGCACAGCGTGCCTAGGGGCGCCACTGCCTCGCTCTTTTCTCCAAAGTGCACAAGCGAGGCCTTACTCTGATGGTGAGGAGCGGGAGAGTCTCAAGCAGCCCAGCACTCCATCCACACTGTGGAATATGCTACCGGGAGAAGACAGCGTTACCATACTGCCCCAGAGAGGACACCCTCATCGCTGTCTGAGGGAGGGCACTGTCACTTAGTGACTAAGCCACGACTAAGCCTAGTAGGACAAGCCCACGTCCCCGCAGATGTAGGCAGTGTAATTCAGTCAGCTTATTACTGAACAGGTGCTATTTTGGTTTCTCTCATCTGCTTTATTCTGAAAAGCCTGATTGACAGCCCTCTGCTCTTTGACTTCTGATAGCAGTATCTGGCAGTGAGGCATAGGGACAAGTGAATTACAGTAGTTTTTTTCAAAAGTTGTAGTTGGTTTGGTTACAGCACTGGTTTCCCAAAGTTTGGGACCTCATAAAGATTGTTTTTAAGAACAATAATTAGGGACCAGAGAGATAGCTCAGTAAACTAAGTGCTTGCTTGGCAAGCGCAGGGTCCGGAGTTCAATCCCTGGCACCACAAGAAATAATTTAAAAAACCCCAATAGACCTTTATAGAATGACGGAAGACGGTTTTGAAATGCAACAGCCTAGGTGAGCAGTTAACATTCTAGGTAGAGGGGAGCCCTGAGGGCACCCCTGCTCTGCTTTTTTTTTTTTTAAACTTAAGTTTATTGGTACAATTTAGTTATACATAATGATCACATGCATTACAGGGAGTTTGTATCTGTATGTGATATATCTTGATTCCTTTTGTTCCCCCCTTCCTGTCCTCTCTTTTCAAACTCCCTTCCCCTCTCTCATCACAAAGCTGTTTTCCTTTTCACATTAACTTTATTGAGAGTCTGCCTCTTGGTGTGATTAATGTCTTGTGAAGGACAAACCGCAGTCCTGTGCTGCAGACCTGCTCAGTGCCTTGTAGAGAGCTGCTCATGTCTGTTTTTCTCTCTGTAGAATTCTGTTCTTTTATCCTCTAGGAGAATTGCTCTCTGTTCTTTTATTCACCCTATTAAAATTAATTTAAGTTTAGCACATTAGAAAATCCTTGATAAATATGTCTTCCCTTCAACATATTGCTGTAGAATATCTTACTGCTCAAAACTAAGGGACACTTTGTTTGCTTAGGGCACCTTGATTAAAATTGCTTTATTTAAGGCAGTTGACAAGAAAGCCACCTACGATGCCCGACCCTCGGACTGCTAATCAGGATGTGAGCCTCTTCGACCAAAGTTTGGGACCCCTCTGGCAAGCCTGAGCAGGCCTCTTGTCTTACGTCTCATACCCAGAGCATGATCTTGGCTGGTCACTAACCTACTGCCCAGTGCCACCCCCTTAAACACCCAGCCTGCTGCAAGCTGAGCACTTTGTACTGGGCGTGGGGGTCACAAGCCCCTGCGATCCCTGAGGCCATGTCGTAGGAAGGCAGCGGGCGGAGCACGCAGGCCCTGCGGTGACGGGTGAGACGTGCTCAGAGCGTGCTCTTTGCTGTCCCTCATTCTCTGCTCTCTTCTTCACAGGTGTGCGACTCAGACACCATGCTTGACCCCGCCTCATCTGTGGAGATGGTGAAAGTTCTAGAAGAAGATCCCATGGTCGGAGGAGTTGGGGGAGACGTCCAGGTACACAGGCCTCGTTTTGGCACGAGACATTTGCAGCAGTGCTCACTGGTTTATTATGTACTCGCTTACTGCGCCCCAGTGCTGCCAGGGGCCGCCCTTCCTGCTTGCGCACCCTGAACTGTGCCTTGCCCCGCCTTGTGTTCTTTCAGCATCGGAGCGATGTCTGATCCCGGAGCGCAGCCTACATCATGACTGCTGCTTCCACTGTAGGTCTTTGGGCCAAAACCTTAGTGATCAAAGTCCTCCTAAAATTGGAGCCTGACAGTCAGCTCCTTACAAGAGGAGAGGAAGTGGCCTCATGGTAGGAAATACATTGTCACCTCCCTCTCTGCTTAAACTCTGGTCAGATTGTGGTTGGGAAAAATACATATTGAGGGCCAGCGAGACAGCTCAGCAGACTAAAGCGCCTGCTTAGGTAAGCTTAGGCAAGTACAGGAACTGGGTTCAATCCCCGGTACCATGTGTCATGCCAGCCCCTCCCCCGAGAGGCGTGCTGAGCCGGCCACAGAGTCTGGGTTGGTGGTGCAGGCCTGTAATCCCAGTGTGGGGCAGGCTGAAAACAGGAGGTTCACCACGATTCCAAGCTGCATAGTGAGACCCTGTAGCAACCAAATACATTAAATAAATAAATAAATTGAAAACTAAATGTAAGAAAAAAGTGGAACTTAAATCAGTAGTAGCGAGAAAGGAAAATAAATAATTAATAAGTGGGTTTTCCGTGTGATCCATTGTTTTATTCTCAGTGGAGAAACCATTTGTGTGTTTCATAAATACAAATGAAGGGAATTTGAATCTTACGCGATGAAAGCGCAGGAGCACGTGAAGCAGTGGTGGAAGATTACAGTGACTTAACGGAGGCCTGAAAGCTCCCTGGAGGGTAGATCCTGGCAAACAGTGCGAAGGGGTGAGAAAACCATTGCTTTGCCGTCCTGCCCACTCCATCCACAGGGCACTGAAAGGAGAGAACCAAGGCAGCGAGAAAGCACGCAGATTCTAGAGAGATGCAGTAAAGGTGCTACTAAGAAAATGCCTTAGCTACGATGCCGGGAAGAGCTTACAAACTTTAATCTTCTGTGTAGAAAACCACTGTTTCAAGGCTCCAGTGTAGGGGGATGGCCACGCTGAGTGTCTCTTCACTGGGACTCCGGAGGCGAGCAGCAGAGCAGGTGCAGCTGCGTGGGGCAGTTGGAAGTCAGCCACAGGGCAGGCCCAGAGGGCTCAGACCTTCCCGTTGTGGCCGAAGGGAAGGAGGCACGAGAGAGGCATCCAGGCCATATGGGCACACAACGAAAACAGTATTTGCTGAGCAGACAAAATGTCACCCTATCAAAAACTGGAAGGAAGTCAAAATCGGTGTAGAGTAACGAATCTCATGCTAGGTGGCGGCCTCATGACAGTTCAAGGTTGCTTGGTACTGCAGCGAATGCTTACCTTTGTTTCCTTTTGTTTCCTTTGCAGATTTTAAACAAGTATGATTCCTGGATCTCCTTCCTCAGCAGTGTGAGATACTGGATGGCGTTTAACATTGAGAGAGCCTGCCAGTCCTATTTCGGGTGTGTCCAGTGCATCAGTGGGCCCCTGGGAATGTACAGAAACTCCCTGCTGCATGAGTTCGTGGAAGATTGGTACAACCAGGAATTTATGGGCAACCAGTGCAGCTTTGGTGATGACAGGCACCTAACCAACCGGGTGCTGAGTCTGGGCTACGCCACGAAATACACAGCTCGATCCAAGTGCCTTACCGAAACCCCGATTGAGTATCTCAGATGGTTGAACCAGCAGACCCGCTGGAGCAAGTCTTACTTCCGAGAGTGGCTGTACAATGCCATGTGGTTCCACAAGCACCACTTGTGGATGACCTACGAAGCAGTCATCACTGGATTTTTCCCCTTCTTTCTCATTGCCACAGTGATCCAGCTCTTCTACAGGGGTAAGATCTGGAACATCCTCCTCTTCTTGTTGACTGTCCAGCTAGTAGGTCTCATAAAATCATCCTTCGCCAGCTGCCTTAGAGGAAACATCGTCATGGTTTTTATGTCTCTCTACTCAGTGTTGTACATGTCAAGTTTACTTCCTGCCAAGATGTTTGCAATTGCAACCATAAACAAAGCTGGGTGGGGCACGTCTGGAAGGAAAACCATTGTTGTCAACTTCATCGGACTCATCCCAGTGTCAGTGTGGTTTACAATTCTCCTGGGTGGTGTGATTTTCACCATTTATAAGGAATCTAAAAAGCCATTTTCTGAATCCAAACAGACAGTTTTAATTGTTGGCACTCTGATCTATGCATGCTATTGGGTCATGCTGTTGACACTGTACGTGGTCCTCATCAACAAGTGTGGCAGGAGGAAGAAGGAGCAACAGTACGACATGGTGCTGGACGTATGACCGGAGCCGGCTGGGTTTGCAGTTACGCTCATGGGACCTCCTCCAGGGCTGACAGTTTGTGGCAGCAGGCAGGGCCGCCAGGAAGACACTTCGCTGCTGCTGGAACTCGAACAAAGACATTTCTGTGGTTTGTTGTGATTCTGCCAAAGCAAAATAACGCATCAAGAAGACCCTCCGATGTAACCTGTTGCGTCTAGAAAACAGAATGAACCCTCTGTGTGCGCACTTTGTCCTGTCCTGCACGCCGCCTGGCAGCGCTGGCCCTATATACCTCACTAGCTGTGCTTTCTGTGGGTTCTCATGGGAGAAAACGATTTCGGAGACTCAAGGAAAAGTCCTTTCAGCCTGTACAACTAATTTATGGACTGCTCAATAGCTAATGTTTTGGAAGGATTCTCTTTTTTAATTATACCAAATGAAGTGCCAAAGGAAATCTCAAAGGCTGTGCTATGTTTTGACGTAATTGCACTGTGTTTTAAAGTTTTGTATGCCAATTTTTAAAACAGATTTTGCATATTCTGTATTTTCTGCCAAAATACACCTTTCTTCGTCTTTTTTTTGTTTTTTAATGAAATACGTTCTGAAAAAAAATCCATTCCTAAAAAAATACCTGCCCAAAATGTGAAGCTTGGTTGACTGATGTTTATAATAGAATAAAATGCTTTTGTCTTTCTACCTTTTAAAATTGAAGAGTTTTATATTTCTGTGAAAATATTTCAAAACTTTCAATATTTTAACTATATTTTCATTTGTTTCGGAAAAGGTCAACATAACTGTCATGTATTGTCAGTAAACATACTTATTGTCTTGTGTACAAAAAAGAAATCATCGAAAATTAAGGCCAAAGGGGTAGAAAAGTGCAATTTTTTTCTTGCAGTTCTTTCTTTCTTTTTTTTAAAGGGAGGCTAGGCATCAAAAGAAAACACTAGTTGTCCAGCACTGAACACAACCCGAGCACCAAGTGTTAGTAATCTTAGAAATCCCTGCAGGTTTTCCCAGGCCAAGTAGACTGGGAAGCAGAAAATTCACCTGCATAATCCAGATGTGTGACTCACGCGCTGCTACGTGTGCGTGGGCTGCACCTGTCTACTCTCTCTGCTTGCCAATTCCATACTACATGCTAGTACGATGTTTACATGGGTGACTTGGACGCATTATGACAAGAATGAGGCACCCAGATTCGGAATTGACAGATTGAAAGTCCTCGGCCTTCCAAGGCGGTCGCTTCCAAGTTGCCTAGATGATGGCTTCGTTTCTTCTGCCTCGGCATCCACCACCGCGTCTGTGCAGCAGAAATGGTATGATGGCTTCATCAGCCTATCGAGAATCGGCACATACAAAAATGACAGCCAGGTACTCTAGACTTGACTCAGCCAGTGACTGTGGCGCCTCAGTGAGCCAGCCCGACCTTCTGAAGGTCCGGCTCGCCTTGCAGCCGGTGCTGTGGAGACCCGTTAGGACACACGCAGACCCACGGACAGCGGCGGCGCTCGCTGAGCGAGGCGGCGGCTGCGGAGGCGCTGCCGGCCTGGGCTTCCCTGGCTGCGGGCAGCTGCGGCACACTGATCCTGAGGAAAAGCTGCACCTTCTACCTTCCAGGCACACCCAGGTCCACTCACGTGCTGAAACACTTGCGGATTCGAGAGCTTGTGGGGAGCAGACACGCCACGCCAATCAGTGAGATTAAAACTTGAGTTTGCCTTTTTAACTATTTATGTTCTAAGTTAAGCTTTTATAACACTCAAATGTCAAATTCGCTCATTCTTATAAAAATTGGATTAATTGCCTGTATTTATTTTAGCAATTATTCAATGTATTTCCAGTATAGGATGTATAGTATAATTGATTTTTTTTGTAAATAAAATATTTTTGATAAGATTATTGCTGTCTTTTTTTAAGGAAGGGGAAACTTTTCCTGATCGTATTGGTATGGATTGAAGAATGGGTATACAGTGACATGAGCATCGTTGGCCCAAGATAATGTGTCACTTCATGTCACAGTTCTTAGTAAGGTGGCTGTCCTCCAAATTGGTGTGGTTTTAAAACCAATAAGACACACACACACACACACACATCACATCTCAATGTTATCTTTGACTTTATGTCCCTTGAAAGTGCAAATTTATACAAACATTTTTATAGTAATCTACAGTATTTATAGTAACCAATCAGCATTCCCTAAGAATATATGAAGATCCTGGAGATGTGTTATGCTCAAAACTGTAGCTTTTGTATAATAAAATCACAATTTGGTAAAAATTACTTAAATATGGTTGTCTCTAATACTGAGGATATGGCCAATTTACATTCCGTTTTTGTATTCTCCAAATAGCATAAAAATTTGTTGCTTTTTTATGGTATTTGGATAACAAATACGGTCTTTAAAAGTGAGTTGGGAGGGCCAGCATGATAGCTCAGTGGACTAAGTACCTGCTTAGGCAAGCTCCGGAACCCAGGTTCAATCCCCGCCACCGCATGTCACACTGGCCCTGCCACCAGGTGCATTGAGCCGGCCACAGAGTTCCGGCCTCGTGGCCCATACCTGTAATCACAGTGCTGGGGAGGCTGAAAATGAGAGGATCACTATGAGTCCGAGGTGCAGAGCGAGACCCTGCAACAACTAAATACATTTTGTAAACAGTGGGTTGGGCCGTTAGAAGCATATCCTGGGCTGGGGAACTTCCGTGGCTGATTGTCCCGTTTTATCACTTATCCCTCCAGTTCATCTTATCTCCCAATTCTATTATTTCTTTGCTCAGAATCTTTCATTACTTTTGTATCGTATCGTTAACTATAGCTACTGAGCATTACTGCCGAAGTGAAAAACAAGAATGACTGTGGCTCTATGATGCAGCCTCATGCTCTTTGGGAGATCGTGGGCCTGATGAGCCTGCACAGCTGGTGACAGTCCCAGGGGTTAATTAACCACAATTCCCTGATAAAGTGGGCTGCTGGTATCCGAGCGGTTGCAGCCTTCCAGTGCGTGGGGACGTCTCAGGTTCTGGCAGCCCTGAGCTTTACCGTAAGAATCCTCAAGGCTGCCATCCCAGGACAGAAGAGCCGCAGCTAATATGCGAATGAAAATGTGTGGCTGGGACTCAGCAACATCTTACTTAAGAACACTGAAATTTGAGTTCTACGTAAATTCATACTTGCATTAATTTCATACAAAATATTCTTTTAGGGCTGGGAGATAGCGCAGCAGTCTAAGCGCCTGCTTGGCAAGTGCAAGGGCCCGAGTTCCATCCCTAGTACTGTGGCAGTCCTGGAACCCTGAGCAGGCTGTGCTGGCCACCAAACTGGGAGTGTTGGTGCATAGCTGTAGGCCCAGTGCTGGGCAGGCTAAAGCAGGAGGATCACTACGAGTGTGAACTGCGTAGCAGGACCCTGTACCGATTAAATAAACAAATACTTGACTCTTTTCAAGGATTTAAAAAATACACACTATTCTTAGTTCCCAGCGTTACCTACATGGTCGATCAATCCTGTAGTCCATAGATGGATGATCTGAGCGACCATGGGCTTGTGTTACATGCTGGGCCTACGTGTGGTAGAGCACGTTTCCCAGAGCGGCTTCACTAGTTGCCGCGGCAGCTCTGGGTGCTGCTGCTCCTCTTGCTGTTGGTCTATGCTGACTGTTCATCGTAGCGAGTTGGCACATGGACAGGACCCACTTCACCTTCTTCTTTTCCTTTCTCTACTCCCTTTTTCACTTTCCCAGTGTTTATCCTCTAAGAGCTAGCAGTTTGGTTATGATTGCAGTTTTGCAGGCAAGGGAATTGAAGATGAATGAAATTTAGTGAATTAAGATCAGAAAGTCAGTGAGGTGGTGGTGGGGCTTTATGTCCAGGCACTCTGCCATGAAGTGCAAACCTTAACCCAGTGCTAGTCACTGTTCAACTGCCTGGGAGCGACAACAGCCCAGCAGGCTCTGCAGAAATGCAGGCTCATCTCCTTGCCCTGGCTGTCCTGAGTTGAGATCCCGAGAACCTAGTAATGCATCCTGGAATGAGTGTCTAGTGAGAACCCGAGGTGCATTTTATGCACATTGATGTTGGCTTGCCTAGGATCTTACCTTTTCTAAGGTAGCTTTACATATAAACATTTGTACTGTCATACTGAACTTTGCTGAGTTTACTATTATTTCTGTGTATTGGCAGATACCTCCTTTTAATTAAGTTTGTTAAGTACCAGTTATAGATAAGAAAAGAGGTGCACCTTCTCTCTGTACTCAAAAGTCTTAGAACTAAATAGGAACACTAAGATGACTGCATAGAGATCTGATGCAATTCTGATGTGAACTTATACATAGTGGCCCAAATCAGATGAACATGTGCAAAGAGTGGCCCAAAGACGGGAACTGAAGGAGGCAAGGGCGCAGCTAGCTCTGTGAGTCAGGACTTTAAGATAGCATGGGGTTGGGGTTGATTCTTTCAGGACATGCAAACCTGGATGGCAGTGGGAGAAACTGAGGAAAGGAGTTGAGGCGAGAGTTTAGTAGGTGGTTCTCCAGGCAGAGCTGATGCACTTATTAGAGGTGCAGGGAGTGTTTAACCAAGAAGTGGGTAAGATGGAAGAAAGTAAATTGGAAGGTGAATGTTGCTGAGCAGGACCAGTTGGAAGAAATACCAGAAAGAGTGATTATGTTTGATAGATCAAAATGCATGCAGGGATTTTTAACCAAGAAAGTCCACTATTAAAGACACAAATTTGGGGGAAAAATTCCTTTATTAAAGGCAGGGTGTTTCCTGCTTGGTTGAGTTTGGACACACCATATGGAAAGTTGTTTGCAACCGTGGCAGGGGCCTGAGCACCCTTGAGACAAGTGAGCGTCCCTCTCCCAGGCACCTGATTGCATGCATCGTCCACCTTCCCGTGCTCGCCCGTGCACCGTCTTCAGCTCTTGATATGGGAATCCCCTGCCAGAGGTTCCCAACAGCCCTGAGATCCCAGCCTTGCCACACCCGTCCATTCATCCCATGAGCTCAGGAACAAGTTCTTCGTCTCTCATCTCAACCTTTGTAAATAACTCTAATCACCTTTCTGGCCCATCTTGATTTTATCCAACACTTTCTCCAGATTTGTAAAATTACCCTAAGATGTAACTCTGGATGGACAAGTTTAAGTTCCTTTTTATTGCAGCAGTGTAAAAGCGTCACAGATTGAGGAACGCATTCAGGGTCGACCGTCTGTCCTGGGTGCCCTGCCCGAATGTTCTCCACAGAGCCACCAAGCTGAAGTTTTGCTCCCTCTAACTGCATTGGACCTTTATCCTTTATCTTTCCTTGCATTTTTAAAAATTAATCTCATTGAGAAACAAATAGCAATGAGACAGTTTCAAAACAGGTTAGTAGGACAGTTACAATAATTAATATATTACA